TGTGCCTGCAAAACCAGTGGATGATGTCAAAGTAGCCTACTTGGGCCACGGCTGCCACGGTGTCTGAGTGCCTGGGCAGCTGAACACAGTGCAGGATCCTGAAGAAGTAAACTCATAGGTGGCCTCTGACGACCCGCTTGCCCTGGAGTTGTCTTTTTGAAAATAAGTCTTTCAAATGAGTTTACATTTTAAATCCTAAAGACTTTGATGAATCCACTGGTTAGGTATGGTTTTCAAAATCTGATCATTTCACCTCCCAAATTAACATAGGAGCTTTAGGGGACCACCTCATACCCAAAGACTAACTGAGAGTACAGGTGTGTGCCCATGTGCCCAGCCTCGCTTCTTTTTAGTTGCACTAATTTCTTCAGCAACTATCTCTTCCTTAGACTTAACTTTAAACATACTCCTTTTGTGACCAAACTGCAAGTTTTTCAAATCTTTTTTTTTTTTTTCCTGAAACTTTAATCCAGGGGCACTTTAACACTGAGCTAAATCCCCTGAATTTTCTAGTTTTTATTTTGAGACAAGGTTTCACTAAGTTGCTGAGGGTCTTGCTAAATTGCTGAGACTGGCTTTGAACTTGGAATCCTTCTGCTTCAGTCTTCAGAGTTGCTGAGACTGCAGGCATGTGCTGCTGCATCCAGCTAAGTTTTTCAAATATTTCTGATCTGCTGGTGATGTGGCTCGGTGGCCAAGTGCCCCTGACTTTTTTTTTTCTCTTTGTTCTCACAGTAAACCTGGCTAAAAGCAGCTAGCAATATCCATGTTACTACTGAATGCTGTGCTGCCTTGATATTTCCTCTACCAGATAAGTCTTAGCTTTGAACAAAGTCTCAGGAAATGGATAATATGTAGACCAGTTCTTTGTCAAAATGTAACATGAATGGTTTCTAGTCTAATTCTTTTTTTTTTTTTTAGAGAATTTTAATATTTATTTTTTAGTTTTCGGTGAGCACAACATCTTTGTTTGTATGTGGTGCTGAGGATCGAACCCGGCCCGCACGCATGCCAGGAGAGCATGCTAACGCTTGAGCCACATCCCCAGCCCTAGTCTAATTCTTTTTAAAGTCCTAATTCTAATCTGAAGTCTCATGAGCACAGTCTTTACTGTCTGCATTCCTATCAGCATTCTGGTCTTCTGAAATCACTCCAGAATCATCTATTAAGCTCTTCTTACAACATTTTAGGGCTTCTATTACTGCATCTCCAAACCTTTCCAAACTCCCCCCACAAATCAGCTCTGAAGACTTTTACATCACATGGTCAGGCAAAGTCACAACAGCCTTACTTCTTGGTACCAATTTTCTATGTTAGTCAGCTTTACATTTCTGTGAAAAAACACTTGAGAAAATCAACTTCAAGGAGGAAGGATTTGTTTTGGCTCATGGTTTCAAATATTTCAGTCCATGTCAGCTGGCTCCTGTTTCTGGGCCTATGGTGAGCAGTACATCTTGGCAGAAAGGTGTGGCAGGGGAAGGTGTCTCACCTCTTAGCAAACAGAAAACAGAGGAGAGACATAAACCCTTCCAGAGCATGACTCCCAGTGACCTAATTCATGGTTTACCACCTTCTAATAGTCTATTCCATTATGGTACTGAATTGATACATGGTGATACACAATCCCAGCAACTCAAGAGGCTGAAGCAGGAGAATCACAAGTTCAAGGCCAGCCTCAGCAATTTAGTGAGATCCTCAGCAATTTAGCAAGACCTTGTCTCAAAATAATAAAAAACCAAGTAAATAAAAAGGATTTGGGAATGTAGTTAAGTGGTAAAGCACCCCTGGGTGCAATCCTCAGTATTAAATTTTTATTTCAAGACACTGTTTCAAAATAAAATTTTAAGCTGAGCATGATGGTACACAGCTATAACCCCAGTGACTCAGGAGGCTGAGGCAGGAAGATTGCAAGTTCAAAGCTAGTCTTAGCAATTTAGTGGGGCCCTAGTCAACTCAGTAAGACCCTGTCTCAAAATAAAAAAAATAAATAAAAAGGTTTGGGATGTGACTCAGAGATTAAGTGTTCCTGAGTTCAATCCCCAGTACCAAATTAATTAATTAATTTAAAAATTTTTAAAAAGGACTGGAGATTTAATCCAGAGGTAAAGTGCTTGCCTAACATGTGTGAGGCTCTGGGTTCTACTCCTATTACTACTACTAGATCATCATCATCATCATCATCACCATCACCATCGACTACTATACTTGACTTTTTGACTTTCCATGCTTAATCTTGGTGACATCAATATTTCCCTATAAGACCTTGAAAAGTCACATCTGTTGTAAATCTCATTATCTCATTATCTTACAGAGATATTATAACAATAAAATGGGAACATTCAAACAGCGTACTTGATATTAATACCATTGCTAACTATGACTAATAAGAATTTCTAGAGTTACTTCTAGTTTTAGAATTTTAGTATTAAGGAAAAATTATTAGAGTTTAGTTGAAAAGATTTCCTTTATTTTTAATGGATTTTATTCATCTTTGCATATGTAATGCTTTTTTTTTTTTTTAAAGAGAGAGACAGAGAACTTTAATATTTATTTTTTAGTTTTGGGCGGACACAACATCTTTGTTTGTATGTGGTGCTGAGGATTGAACCCGGGCAGTACGCATGCCAGGCGAGCACGCTACCGACTGAGTCACATCCCCAGCCCGGAAAAGAGTTCCTTTAGAGATACACAAAGAGCCAAGCACAGTGGCACATGTCTGTAATCCCAGTAACTCAAGGTTGAAGCAGGAGTATCCTAAGTTTACAGCCAGCTTTAGCAATTTAATAAGACTGTCAGCAACTTGGCGAGATCCTGTCTCAAACTTTAAAAACATAATCAGAGGCCTGGAGATGTAGCTCAGTGGTAAAGTGCCCCCAGGTTTGATCCCTAGCACAATAGATAGATAAATAGATAGATAGATATAAATAGATAAAAATAGAAACATATACTGAAGCAGCTTAAGAGGAAATGATGTACCAACTGGGATTTGCTTCAAAACAATCCAGGGCTCATTCATAGCTTATTTGGTCACATGTTGTGCATTGTTTAGACTAGGTTACAGGTACTTGAAAGCCATGAAAGAAAAAATTCTGCCTTCTTTTTATGTTTGAAACTTTCAGATTGAGGGAGGTTAAAATAATTGGGAGGCCATTAGGCTAAGATAGCTCCAGTGCCCTGAATTCATACCTAAGCAAACTGAAACCCAACTGGAATGAAGGGTCACAGCCCAGGAAAACAAAATGTGAGGTCAACCAATCAGAAACTGCCAGCTAATGTCTAACTGGAGAATTTACAAATCAGAAACCACCAACTAACCTCCAACTGGGACTTTCCACTTAAACTAGTAAAATATTTTCCATATTTTACCTCTATGAACACCTTATAAAAGTTTTCCCTTTCTGCCCTCTTGGTTGGGCCCAAACTGCTTGTGGTTTGGCACCACCCAATTCATGAATTTCTGTCCACTCAAATAAACTTGATAAAATTTTAACATGTGCCTACGTTTATCTTTTAATAGGAGGGAAAAAAGGAAAAGGGAAATTGGAAAGAAATTTCTATTACTTACTCTAATGTTCTACTTAATTAGAACTACTTCTCCAGAAAATCTTGATATTAAAAGAAACAGAGGGCCGGGGTGGAGCTCAGTGGTACAGCACTTACCCAGCATGCTTGAGGTCAGAAATGAAAAAAATAAATAAATAAATGGGAATTTCATTTTATTCATTTTTTAAAATCTCTACTTTCTTAGAAACAGATTTTAAATGACCAGCAAGATACAGAAGAGTACAAGAATTTGATAATTTCATTAAGTTTTCAAATAACCTTCTAATATATTTTTAACTAAAGGACCATTCTACATTCTCTTTAATTAATTTATTTTATTTTATTTTTCTGATATGTGAAATTGAACCCAGGGGTGCTTTACCACTACACTACATCCCCAGTGCTTTTTATTTTTTATTTTGAGAGAGGGTCTTGCTAAATTGCTGAGGCTGGCCTCAAACTTACAATCCTCCTGCCTCAGCCTCCTGAATCACTGGTATTACAAGCATGTACTGTTATATTGTTATACATGTATGTGTTATGGTTTGGATGTGAGGTGTGCCCCAAAAGCTCTCATGTGAGACAATGCAAGAAGATTCAGAAGAAAACTGATTGGGTTGTGAGAATCTTGACACAATCAGTGAATTAATCCCCAGATAGGGATTAAATGGTAACTGAAATGTTAGGGCGTAGCTCGAGGGAATGGTTAATTGGGGACATGGCTATGAGGAATGTATTTTGTATCTGGAGAGTGGAGTCTCTCTGCTTTCTGATCATCTTGTGAGCTGGTTCCCTCTGCCACACACTTCCTCCATGATGTTCGCCTCACCTTGATCCTGGAGGAATGGGGCTGGCCTTCTATGGACTGAGAGGCTCACCTCTGAAACTGTGAGCCTTCAAATAAACTCTTCCTGCTCTGCAGTTGTGCTGGTCGGGTCATTTAGTCACAGCAACGAGAAAATTAACTAAAACCCCAGGCTAGGAAACCCATTTTAAAGAACTATAGCAAAAAAAAAAAAAAAAATTGACTTCCTTAATGGAATCCATGTTAATGTGGAATCTTAAAAACTTTTGAGATTTTTCCCCAAAGAAATTTCAGGATATTTTAACAATTTTCTGCTTTTTAAGAATACAATATTGTATATTAATTGTATATCAGTATTTCAAAAGATGATTTATTTGATATTTCTCTGACAAAAATCGATCACTGGACTGGGGATGTAGCTCAGAGGGAAAGCTATCGTGTCACATGAACGAAGCCCTGGGTTCCAACTCCAGGATTTCAAAACCAAAAACAAACAAAAAACTATCACTGGGGTTTGGCATAGAGCAGTAGAGCACTTGCCCACCATGTGCAAGGTCTTGGTTTCAATTCCCAGTGCCATAAATACATAAAACTCTATCACTAACCATAGAGAACTTAACAGCAATAAGTGCATAATATGTCCCTTGCTTACTTTGAAGGTGAGAATTCTCTAGGAAGTCTTCATGAGTTTCTTTTGTTTCCCCAGGTTTTGATGATCGATGCTCACTTCTCAGAGATATCTTCCACCATCTAAAAATTATCTGCAATTGAAGAGAAAGTGACAGGTTAAAAAACCGATTCCAGGGTTGAGGTTGTGGCTCCAAGGTAGAGCATTAGCCTAGCACATGTGAGGCACTGGGTTGATCCTCAGGAGCACATAAAAAATTAAATAAATAAATAAATAAAGGCATTGTGTCTACATACAACCAAAGGTGGGAGGGGGACTGATTCCAATCCTAGCAGCTATCCTATGTTTGGGGTTTTGAAAGATCACTGTGGAGCTGGGTGCAGTGGTGCAGGCCTGTAATCTCAGTGGCTCCAGTAGGTTGAGGTAGGAGGATAGTGAGTTCAAAGCCAGCCTCAGCAAAAGCAAGGTGCTAAGCAACTCAGTGAGACTCTGTCTCTAAATAAAATACAAAATAGGGCTGGGGATGTGGCTCAGTGGTCAAGTGCCCCTGAGTTCAATCCCCAGTACCAAAAACAAAAAACAAAAAACAATGGAATCAGGGCATTATGGGTCTTGGCTATAATCCCAGCTACTTAGGAGGCTGAGGCTGGAGAATCACAAGTTCAAGGCCAGCCTCGGAAGCTTACTGCAATTCTGCTTCAAAATAAAAAATAGAAAGGGCTGAGGGTGTATCTCAGTGGTGGAGTATCTCTGGGTTCAATACATAGTGCTGAAAAACAAAATCTATCAGGTCAATTGATGAAATCACCCAGTGCCAAATGGTTGTGTTCTTGAGAACAGAGATTCTCTAACTTGGGGAACTAATTCCAAAGTAATTGCTTGGCTCTCCTATTTCCTTCCCAGGCAACAGGGCAGACAAGATGATGGATAAATCCCTCAGAGAGCATGACAGTTACATGAATAGGAGCAGAAAAAAACACCGTTGTGCTTTGTGTGATGCATGAAAATGTGTCAGACACAAACACTTCTTGGTAACAGATCTGAGAATTTTGTCCATCTGAAGCAAACCTCATTCCCGTGGCATGGGCTGCACTCTGTTCTTTATTGATTTCATGGTAGTGTCACCTCCTGGGCCCGGTGAAAGCCCCTTGGAACAGACCCAGCTTTGGTCATGTTTTTAAACCAAGAGTGAAGCAGGGTAGTAAAGTGAGGTGACAGAACTTCCACCCATTTGAGAAACAGACCCTTTTCTGCACTTTGATGATGACATGGGAGGAAAGGAGGGATGTACCGTCACACTGGGGGTCAGGGCATCGAGTAAGGACTTGGAGGTGGGGAGCCTGCCCTGTATGCAGGTCTGTAATCACAGCGACAGAGGAGGAGGCAGGAAGACTGCATGTCCCAAGCCAGCCTGGGCAGCTGAGTGAGACCCTGCCTCAGAATAAAACTGAACGGGCTGGGGGTGTAGCCAAGTGGTAAAGTGCTTGCCTAGCCCAGAGTTCAACGCCCAGTACTCCAAGCAAACAAACAGAAAATGAGTGTGGAGGGCAGACAGTTCAGTCCATAATGAGGGCGATTCCAGTAGAAACTGCATGCATTGTGGAGCAGTGTAGTCCTGGACGATTCATTTCATCTCCCTGCAGTATAACTTTCTTTCTCTTAAATATTAATATTAAATATTATAAAGATATTTCCTTTCTATTGAATGAAGACACCAGGCAGTCTGGATCTAAAACCCATGGGGTTTTCATGTTGTTTGGGGGTTTTGTTTCTTTCATTACTGGGGGTTGAACCCAGGGTTGCTCTACCACTTAGCTACATCTCCAGCCCTTTTTACTGTTTTATTTTGAGACAGGGTCTCACTCAGTTATTAAGGTTGGCCTGGAACTTGCCATCCTGCCTCAATCTTCCAAGTCTGTGGAATTATAGGCGTTCACCACTGCACCTGGCAATCTAGCATTTTGGGGGGAACTGGGAAGTAAAAATAATGTAGTCCAGCCAGGCACACCCCTATAATCCTAGCAACTCAAAGACTGAAGTAAGATGGCCAGTTTGAGGCCAGTCTTGGCAATTTAGTGAGACCCTGTCTCAAAACAAAATAAAAAGATCTGGGGACATAGCTCAGTGGTACAGCACCCCTGGCTTCAATCCCAATTATCACTAAATCTCTCTCTTATATTAATAACAATTATGATAATTTAGTCCATTTCTTACAACCATCCTGCAGATGAGCAAAGTTTCAGAGAGGTTAGAACGAACCTGTCTCCCTCCCCCGACCTTACTGCTAGGTGTCTTATGAGTGAGCACAAGTCTCAGACTGAATTCCACCTCAAGAGCGACAGTGCCATGGAGGTATCACCAGAGCCCAAAACATTTCTGAAAGTTCAGCAGAGACCCCCCTTTCACCATTCCTCCAGGTGCTGTCTGGCAACCTTTGCAGAAGTTTCTCCCTGAGGCAGGTGTCCCCATGTTATAATTAAAGGATCAGCTAAGCCTGCTGATCCAGAGCAAGCAGCAAAATACTTGGTTGGGGGGCGGGGGGAGTTCTGGGAAAAAAAAAAAAAAGAGTTCTAGAGCCAAACGTGATTTTCCAGAGAGGTGTTGCAGACTCACCTCTGGAGGTGTTCAATGGCGGGCAGAGAGGGTTGTGCACATCCTATTGACTTCACCCCGCATTCCTTATGTAATTAACCAGCCTGAGCCTGACTCAGGAGGCAGTTATTTACAGTGCTTGTCATAATGCTCTCTGGAGGGAAGATCTCTGGGGCTTGGGTTCAGGTTAAGCACACACAAGCTTCCCACAGGCTCCCCTGGGGTGCTTAAAGCAAATTATCAGGAATACATCACCTACCTAAGGAAGCTGGCTGGCTAGGACCAGAGTCCTCCTTGCGCTGCAATGAAGATTCAGACTCACAGTTCAGCCTTGTCAAGACTTGGGTCTGTCCTGTATAATGTGCTTATCAAAAGAGGAAAATGGGGGGCTGGGGTTGTGGCTCAGAGGTAGAGTGCTCACCTAGCATGTGTAGAGCACTGGGTTCGATCCTCAGCACCACATAAATATAAAATAAAAGTAAAAAAAAAAAAAAAAAAAAAAAAAAAAAAAAAAAAAAAGAGGAAAATGGGTATCTTGAGCCGTTTACTTTCTCTTAGCTTGGTAACAATTTTTTTTTTCTTTTTGGTAAGTGATAAAACACTATTTTGGTGAGGACAAGGGAAACTGAGAGCCCCTAAAAGTCACTGAGAGGAGCTGGGTGTGTTGGCATACACCGTAATCCCAGAGACTAGGGAAGCTGAGGCAGGAGGGATGCAAGTTTGAGGCCAGGCTGGACAACTTGGTGAGATCCTAGAAAGAAAGAAGGAAGGAAGGAAGGAAGGAAGGAAGGAAGGAAGGAAGGAAGGAAGGGAGGGAGGGAGGGAGGGAGGGAAAAAAATTTCTCATTGTGCCTAGCATGAGTAAGGCCCTGGGTAAGATCCTCAGTACGGTGAAGGGCGTGGATTTCCTCACAGTTTTGGACATACTACCCAACCTTTATACTCCTTCAGTGTTTTTTGTTTTTCAGGGCTGGGGCCAAACCCAGGGCCTCTGCATACTAGGCAGGCACTCTACCACTGAACTACCTCCCCAGCCCTTTATTTTTATTTTTGAGATAGGGTCTTGCTAAATTGCCCAGGCTAGCCTCAAAGTTGTGATCATCCTGCTTTGCCCCCTGTCTTTGAGGTCACAGGTAAGAGCTACAGTGCCCAACTAATATTAATTCCCCTGGATGTAGCAATTCTATTTTAAGATAAATAGAATCCTATGGAATTTTATCAGAAAACAACCAACATTTTATAAAAGATTTATCAGAGATGTGTACAACATTTTTAAAAGGATGGTTATTGGGGCTGGGGTAGTGGCTCAGTTTAGAGTGCTCACCTGATATGCACGAGACACTGGGTTTGATCCTCAGCACCACATAAATATAAAATAAAGATATTGTGTCAACCTAAAACTAAAAAATAAATACTTTTAAAAAATAAATAAAAGGATGGTTATCATAGCAGCATTACGATAATGAGTAATAAGAATCTACCCAAGGCTCAATAGGTGGGACTAGTTAAGTAACTATCTCACATTAGATGATGCAGAGAGCACTCTGCAAACAACAAAATAACTTGTAGAAAAATAGCACTGTAATCCCAGTGACTTGGGAGGCTGAGGCAGAAGGATTGCAAGTTCAAGGCCAGCCTCGGGAATTTAGTGAGATGCTGTCTCCAAATAAAAGAATAAAGAAAGTAAAGAAAAAAGAGAGGGCTCCCCTGTAGCTTGGTGCTAGAGTACTGAGTCCAATCCCCGGAACCACAAAAAAGAAACAAAAGAAAAAGAATAACACAGAAGGATGTTAATGATCATTTGGTAAAGGGCTCAAAAGTATATGCATGACTGATCCAAATAGTCAAAAGAAAATATTTATTATGCAGGAGGAAGGAACATTAGTTGTGGCAGTAAGTGAACTGTGTCACACAACAGATGACAGATGCAGCTTGAAGTGAGCTCCACTCTAAGAATTTCCACCCAGTACTCTTAAAAAGGTAGCATCGATTATGGTATTAGCATATTTTAAGTTATATACACATACAAAGTTGTATTCGTATATTTCATCTCTATTTTGAAAATTTGTCAGTACTGCTTTACACATTTTGGATCTTATTGACTGCGACTGTTCTATTAATGTCTGTTAGCACACCTGCAAGAAAAGCCACAGAGGCGCTCCCTGCCAGGTCTGCAAGACTGTTTACCTCTGGATGGAACACGGAGTTCACTGTACTCGCTCCGGGGTTTCATGAATTCTCCCAACCTCCTGTGAGCCATGTAAGACTGCCCTTTCATGGGTAAAGAAACCAACGGTGGTAGGACAGACAACCTGCAAGAGCTCCTCTCTCCCAGCACTGGTTGACCTAGACAACCTGCAAGAGCTCCTCTCTCCCAGCAGTGTTTGACCTTGAGTCTGTGCCCATGCATTGCCTCACATTCCTCAGGAGGGCCAGCCACCGGCCTCATGATAGGACACTTGCCTTACTATAGGTGACATAGATGACTCTCCAATATTTGGTACCCTAATTGAAATAATGTGGCCAGGGGTAGAATTCTTT